GGGAGTCTGCTTCTCCCTCTGGCCCTCCCCCCTCTCATGTGCTCTCTCTCATTCTCTCTCTCAAATAAATAAATAAAATCTTTAAAAAAAAAAAAGTGTTCTTTTTAAATAGGTGGTATTTGACAGCTTTAAAATATAGTTGTTTTAAAAGATAAATCTGAAATTTTAAGAGAAATTATTTTAACCTAGTTGATTTGTTATATTTTCTTCTGTTGTCTTGAAAATGGAAACACCAGATTCTTTATCCAGAAATTAAACCAATTCCACTTTTATTGTTTCAGTTTTCTATTTAGCCTTTTTTCTCTTCTGAAAAGATTTTTCTGTTTATCTTTTACTTCCTGTTGTCCTATCCACAGAAATAACACTTCTTACACACTGAGAAACAGAATGGGTGATAGTATTATGAGATACTTCAAGATGAAAAGATGACTATTCAGAGAATATATTTAATGTCATAAATTTTACTGTAATATTTTTATTAGTTTAAAAGGAAGTTAAAGGCAAATTGTATACTTTAAAAGTATCATGTTTATGCATTGTATTGTTTTCTGATATTTTAAACAAATCTTTGTAAAACTAGTTCTGAGCCAACAAATGGTTTACACTCTTTCATCGTGGTACTGAAGATTTTAAAAAGAACATAGTTCGAGGGTCCAAGCCTTATTTAAACAAAACAAAACAATATATTGAATTTGTTAGTATTTTGAGTAAAAAATGAGCGTGCTTTTAAAATGTTAAAAAGTTTCAATATCATGAAATAGTACTTACAACTCTTGTTAACGTGCTGGTAGGAAAATGGGAAGATGAAGTTTATTACTATTAGTATGTCTTCTCCCGCCCCCACTCTCAGATTTTTTTTTCCTAAACGTGCATTCTCTTTCCCTGCTTGCCTACAGTGCTGAGACAAGGATTGGCGTTCAGTCAGATCTATCGTTTTTCCTTGTCCGACGGCACTCTTGTTGCTGCACAAACGAAGAGCAAACTCATCCGTTCTCAGACTACTAATGAACCTCAGCTTGTAATATCGTTACATATGCTTCACAGGTAATCCCCGTTCTAAGAAGTCATTTTCCCTTCCCCAAATCAGGAGGAAATGGTTGGAAAGCAATAGATCCCCCCCTAGAGCTTTTCAGCCTTGTGAGACATCTCTGTTCATCAGCCCCAGGCAGGTAGAATACAAAATTAAGTTGCTATGAACTTTTGGCCAATGGACAACTTAAGATACCGGCAAAGTAGGCTATACTCCGAATCTGTGCCTTACCACTAGTGAATTTTAAAACCCAGCTGGAAGAACACAGGCTAGCGCTCACTTTGCTCCGACAGGACCGCCTGTCATACCGGAGAAGGGAAGTCGGTCCGTTCCCAGGGGTGACACATGCGGTGCAGAAATAGTGAAGCCGCTAACAGGACTTCTGCTCCTGGGCGTGGAAATCTGAAACTTCCAAATATATTATACTTAGAGGGAATATTTTAGGTTTTCCCCCCTCCTCAGGTTTAAATTAACTTCTGGATTTTGGCCTTTCGATTGAAAGCTAATAAACATTTCCATTAAAAAATGACAGTACAGAAAATTGAATGCTGATTTTAAAACAAATGTCATAAACTATACTGTTTTAGAGCACAAATTTAGGAAAATGATTATATTTCGAGTTATGTAAATATGTATGTATGTGCTATATAAAACTTTATGAGGTACTATCAGAAGATATATAAAGTTGCTCTGGTTAAAGAATCCTCTTTTCTTACATTTCTCGATTATATACTTTCTTATTTAGGAATAAAAAAAAATCAGGCATCCCTGTTTGCCAACTGTTAATAAATCTGACCTCAAACTGAAACAATTTGAAAGTGATTACAGATGTGCCAAATTTCACCCCCCTAAGTGAAAGCTGATGTTTGACAATTTGTGAAACCTGTTTTGTTTGGATTTGGGAACACATGTGGTAACTCACAAGTGACTGCCAAGGCTGTAAATTAAAGCTCATAGGGCTTGGAAAATCATTTAGCCTGAAAAACCTGCTTTTAGTCACCAGTAAGGGAGTGGATTGAAGTTGTCTGGGTGTTGGGGAATAAGATCACAGAGCAAGGTCACTCTGAAGTTCCGTCCCATGTTGTCTGTTTTGGAGGCTCTCGCTTTGACCTGCAAGGGGATCTGTTAGACAAGGTGATCTAGTTCTAAATACTTTTGATACCTTTACTGGCTCTAGAACTTGCAGAGTCTCTACTAGTTAGGGGCGAGTTCCCCCCTCTCCCCGCTGAGTTTGCTATCCGTCTTGAGCCAAGTAGTAGACCTCAGAGTTCTCTGGGCTTACAGATGGGTCTCTTGTTAGGAATTGTGATCCGGCAAATAATTGAAGACAGCTCTGCTTGTTAGGGTCCTTCCTTTAAGATGGTACAAGTTCTCAGTTATTCATGATAATATACCATGTAATGAGAAAGATAATATTATGTAATTGGAACCCCTCTAATGTCTTGTCTGGTAACTACAATTTCAGTCTAGTAGCAGTCACATTTAAAGACACCTCCTCTGTAAAACCGCAGACATCTTAATGAGTTGACTGAAAAACATCCCTCTTGGTCCAAAATTATGCGTGCTTAGTCTTGTCCATAATTGCAGATTGTTTCATCCAAGTATTATCTGTCCTTTAAATGTAGTCTGTTCTTTTAAAGAAAAGAGGCCATCTCATTTTTTTAAAATTAATAACAACTTGCTAAATGTGTTTCCTTTTATATTTCTTTCCTCATTGTACAGAGAGCAGAATGTGTGTGTCATGAATCCAGATCTGACGGGACAAGCGATGGGGAAGCCACTGAATCCAATTAGCTCTAGCAGCCCTGCCCATCAGGCCATGTGCAGTGGGAACCCAGGTCAGGACATGACCCTTGGTAGCAATATAAATTTTCCCATCAGTGGCCCAAAGGAACAAATGGGCATGCCCATGGGCAGGTTTGGTGGTTCCGGGGGAATGAACCATGTGTCAAGCATGCAAGCAACCACTCCTCAGGGTAGTAACTATGCACTCAAAATGAACAGTCCCTCCCAGAGCAGCCCTGGCATGAATCCAGGACAGCCCAACTCCATGCTTTCACCGCGGCATCGCATGAGCCCCGGAGTGGCCGGCAGCCCTCGAATCCCACCCAGTCAGTTTTCGCCCGCAGGAAGCTTGCATTCCCCTGTGGGAGTTTGCAGCAGCACAGGAAATAGCCATAGCTACACCAACAGTTCCCTCAACGCACTTCAGGCCCTCAGCGAGGGGCACGGGGTCTCACTAGGGTCGTCGCTGGCTTCACCAGACCTGAAACTGGGCAATTTGCAAAACTCCCCCGTTAATATGAATCCTCCCCCACTCAGCAAGATGGGGAGCTTAGACTCCAAAGACTGTTTCGGACTTTATGGGGAGCCGGCTGAAGGTACAACTGGTCAAGCAGAGAGCAGCTGCCGTCCCGGAGAGCAGAAGGAGACGGACGATTCCAGCATGCCCCAGGCTGTGAGCGGTGAGAGAGCTGATGCACAGAATCGGCTGCATGACAGCAAAGGACAGACCAAACTCCTGCAGCTGTTGACCACCAAATCGGACCAGATGGAGCCCTCGCCCTTACCCAGCTCCCTGTCGGACACAAACAAGGACTCCACAGCGAGCCTGCCTGGTCCTGGCTCGACACATGGAACCTCGCTCAAGGAGAAGCATAAGATTTTGCACAGACTCTTGCAGGACAGCAGCTCCCCTGTGGACTTGGCTAAGTTAACAGCAGAAGCCACAGGCAAAGAGCTGAGCCAGGAGGCCAACAGCACGGCTCCCGGCTCAGAAGTGACTATTAAACAAGAGCCAGTGAGCCCCAAGAAGAAAGAGAATGCACTACTTCGCTACTTGCTAGATAAAGATGATACTAAAGATATTGGTTTACCAGAAATTACCCCCAAACTTGAGCGACTGGACAGTAAGACAGACCCTGCCAGTAACACAAAATTAATAGCTATGAAAACTGAGAAGGAGGAGATGAGCTTTGAGCCTAGTGAGCAGGTAAGTTGTGTAATGTGTTCTCTCAGGTATACTAATCCATATCCATCAAGGATTTTCACAGGGGCATTTGGAGGCCTCAGGTGAAGGGATAAAAATAAGCCTTCTCCTTTGTTGTTCTTACTTGGAGACAGAGTTAATTCTCACTGAAGCTCCCTGTTCCAAATACTCCTGTCTAGGAACGAGTGACACTTTCATCCACCAGGGGAAGGCTGACTTTTTTTTTTTTTTTCCCTGGAAAGGGCCAAGTGGTGAGTATTTTAGGCTCTACGGACCAAACAGTCTCTGCCACTGTGGTCCAAAAACGGCCATAGACACTATGCAGACAAATGAGAGCGCTGTGTTCTAATAAAACTTTACTGACAGCCACTGATATTTGGATTTTATACAGTTTTTGTGTGTCATAAAATGCTCTTCTTTTGATTTTTTTTTTCAATTATTAAAAAATGTAAATTCCTTCTTAGCTCGGGGCCATAGGAAAACAGGTGGTGGGCAGGATTTAGCCTACAGGCCAGCTGTAGTTTGCTGACCCTGTTAATAGAAGATGCCTAAATTGGAGATAATCACTTCCTTGAAACTGGCTTTGTCAGGACAGACTTCATTAAATTATTTCCCATTTACCTTTCTCTCTCTTTAAGGTCAGAGTTTGGTTTTCAAACCTAATGAAGACCATCGCGCCCTCTATCATCAACCGAACCTTCTGGTTCATGTTAAAGAATTCTTTTCTTTTCTTTCTTTTTTTTTTTTTTTGAGCGTTATTTCTGACATAATGGTTTGGCATAAGATGTTTCCTGGGGACTCAGTGACGGGCTGGGTTAATGATCCAAGACTTCACCCTGCATTATCAACTCCCTCTCTAATCCCTGGGAACAGGCCTGGACTTCAAATCTTTTAAGTCCACATTGGTTAACAAGTGAAGAAGCTGCATTGGCCTTTCTACTTAAAATGGTTCACTAATTTGTCTTGAAATTTGTTTTGCAAGTGGAGAGTTTATGTGTCACTGTCTTGGGGGACTAGGTGTGGATGGGGAGAGAAGAGAGCAGCACTCCCTTGCTATACTTGAACTCTGCTGAGTCAGCCGAGGTTGGCCCAGGGGCAGGGCTAGGATTGAAAGCAGGAATCAGGAAGCCTGAGGCCAAACACGCCCGCCCCATAGAGCTGGGCTCCATCCGCCCTTCTAAGCACTTACTTAGCTTCCTTCATTTCTTTCACTTTGATGTCTTGGCAGATGCTGTATTCCTGTAAGAGAGAGATGATTTGTTTAAACCTCCATGCCCTTCACCAGGGAAACATCCTAATTCTATAATCATCTTTGATAATTAACCTTAGAACTTAGATGTTAGTGCAGGGTTCGACAATACAGCTATTCTGTAATGCTGTAAAATCAGTAAGTGGGGGAAACTCAGTTTCTTTCAGCAGAAAGTTAGTAGCAATACCTTGGATTAAGTGTAGGATGAAACTGTATTGATAACTGTCAATGTTTTCATCTTTTGAGGTTTACTAGATTAGAATATACAGAGCAAGTGGCAGGCACAGATACTGTCACTCACGTCTCCCTAACACATGCTAGAGTGCAAGATGGTGACTCATGAGGGCCACCTTAGCTCAGTGGCTAAGTGGCTGGCCCCTCCCTCCATACACAGAATTTATTTCTATCCCAGGCCTGAGGCCCTAGGGACTTAGAGGGTCAGGGAAGGGGGACACTGTTTGGCATGTCTATATTTAGTGTGTGATGATGCTAACTTCAGACAAGAAACTGACAAAAAAAAAAAAAAGAAATTTTTTTTAAGTCCTTGAGTCACTTGCCGTTTCTAATTGTTGTTTAGGAGACACGTTTTTCTAATCAAAGTCATCTTACCTAGGGAACATCAGCACAAATCTGTTATTTTGGGACCAAAAAGCAGTGTGTACACACACACACAATTTTTTTTCTTAATGAAACCCAGTCCCTGGTCTCGCCCTCCATTCACTCCCATTTAAAAATAAAACTCCGCCAAAAAATACTGCTTCAGAGCAAACTTAACATTGAAAACATTGCAACTTGAAAAGAAAAGTTACCACAGGAAGTATGCATTACCTAAATTTAGATCAAAGTTAGAGTGACTTACTTTAAGGAAAAAACAGTGATTCTTTTGCCTCCTGCTTGCCTTCACTATTCCCAAAACAGATTAATTGTATCTCCTTTTAACTGCTCTACCGGTTTGTTAAAGTTTTTTTCTTTCATTTCAGGGGAATACAAGTTTTTTATTTAATAAGATAAACTGTTAGGGAGCCTGAATTATGCACTCAACGGGCTTGTTATTTTGACTCAGAAAAGAGCCATTAACCAAGTGTGTGTTTAACTTACCTACAACTTACTAAGGACAGGAAGTACTTCGATGGTGCTATTATACCTAAAATAGCATTCTTTACTGGGTAGAGTATTTAAACAACAGTTGTTTCTACGGCATTTCGTCACCAACAGGAAGCAGCGACTGAAAAATTTCCAATATGTTTACAGACTTTCAAGTTACATACTTATTTACCCAGTGGAGCATGTTGATAGTCTTATGTTCTTTCTAACGCTACTGGGCCAGTTATAATGATGGCTTAGAGCTAGTCTAAAAGGAACATCTTGCTATTTACCTCCACCAGAAAGGCAAACCATATTTTAAACTGGCAATGTCCTGAAAATTTCCCACCAAATGTGATAGAATTGTATTACCATCTTCTAACAATTTTACCTTTTTTTTTTTTTAAAGATTTTATTTATTTATTTGAGAGAGAGAGAATG